TGCACAAAGGATAGTAACATCTCATCCTGTGTTCTTTGGAATCTGAATATCTGGACTTGTCCAGTGACTGCTGAGAAAGATCAGCTGACAACAGGGGAAAGTCCTTGTGGCGGCACGGAGAGACGGCTGACAGGAGGGAATAGACCCCACTGGGACAGTCATGGGTTAGCTTCCCATTTCTGTAGTTTCCCATGCTTCGCAGTATGTTGGAAACACCCGATTTAGCTACAGAAAGTCAACATACGAGAATACCCCTAGAGTCTGCGAGAGCGGGGGCGGAAGATGACTCATTGACTGACAACATGGTAACGACTGGACCGGAAACGACTACGAGTAATGAGAGCACAGCACAAGAGAACACCACAGCAACTGTCACAAGTTCCGCTGCAACAGCAGGCCACAAACAGATGCAGGTATGTGTCTGTGGTTGGAGGAAAGTTACATCACACCATGGGTTGAGGATCCACCAGGGGAAGAAGGGGTGTTTGGGTAAAGAGAGACAGAGGCCTCGCATTGATTACTTTCTGCAAAAGCGATCAAATCAGTCGAATGAAGCACAGCAACTGGACGCAAACCATAGTTTGCAGTGCATCAGTACCACTGTCATGGAGGACGTAAACTCAAGCACCGAAGTAACAACTGAGGTGGAACCAACAACAGGAGTGGAACTCACCCAGCCTCCGAGACCTGCAATCGAGAGGAGACTACCAGGGCACAGACCGTATGTGAAGTGGCCTGGCGCCAGTGACAAGAAGTTGTGGGAAACAGTGAATACTGACCTTACCTTGACCCTCGAGAAACTTCGAGGCACTGTGGAGAAGAAGTTGGAGAGGATGGGGGACATCATCTATGAGTACGGGGCAGAAAGCTTTGGAGTGCAAGAGGCAAAAGGCGGGAGAAAGGTTCCAACCCCACCAGTTTCCAGGAGGCAACAAGAAATCAAGCGCCTCGTTCAAGAAAGGAGACAGCTTAAGAAACAGTGGAAGAAAGCCTCGGAAGTGGAAAAGGAGGGCATAGAGGCACTTCAGGCTGACATCAAAACCCGGTTGGCATCCCTCCGTAGAGCAGAGAACCTACGGAAGCACAGAAGGAAGAAAGAACAAACTAGAACTCGATTCTATAAAGATCCCTTCAAGTTCCTTAAAAGTCTCTTCACGAAGGAAAAAAGTGGAGTTCTAAAAACAACAAAGAAAGACCTAGAAGAGCACATGAGAACAACAAACTTTGACTCAAAGCGACATGAACATCTGGCCATCCCATCAGATATCCCACCCATTGAACCCCCGGAACATCATATTGAGACCAGCCCTCCGACATGGAAAGAGGTGGAAAACAAAGTTCGAAGGGCAAGAACAGCATCAGCCCCGGGGCCAAATGGAGTCCCGTACAAAGTGTATAAGAACGCACCAGACGTCCTGAGGTTCCTCTGGAGGCTTATGAGAACAGCTTGGCAAAAGAAGATAATACCCAAAGTGTGGCGTAGGGCAGGCGGGGTCCTGATCCCTAAGGAGAAGGATGCAGTGAACATCAGCCAATTCCGCCCAATCTCCTTACTGAATGTCGAGGGTAAAATCTTCTTTAGGATCATTGCCCAGAGGATGGCCGAGTACCTGCAAAGGAATGCGTACGTCGATACATCTGTACAGAAGGCAGGAATATCAGGGTTCTCTGGCTGCTTGGAACATTCCAGCATGATCTGGCACCAGATCCAAATGGCCAAGGTGGAGAAAAGGGACCTCCATGTAGTCTTCCTCGACCTCGCCAATGCATTTGGCTCTGTGCCCCATGAACTCCTGTGGTCTGCCTTCAGATTTTTCCACATACCGGACACCATCACAACCCTGGTGAAGTCGTACTTTCAGGATCTGCAGTTCTGCTTCACCACCTCAGAGTTCACCACCTCATGGCAATGCCTGAATGTAGGTATAATGGCGGGATGTACCATTTCTCCATTGGCATTCATAATGGCAATGGAGGTTATCATCAGATCCTCAAAATGGGTTGCTGGTGGACAGCGAGTCGACTCTGGTTTTCGCCTCCCTCCACTCAGAGCCTACATGGACGACATTACAACATTGACCACCACTGTCCCATGCACCAGGAGACTGCTCAGAAAACTCGAGGAGAACATCAGCTGGGCCCGTATGAAGATTAAACCATCCAAGTCACGCAGCATCTCGATTGTGAAGGGAGTACTCTGTGACCTGAAATTCTTCATCGGAGATGACCAAATCCCAACAGTGTCTGAGCAGCCGGTAAAAAGCCTTGGAAGGTGGTATGATGCAAGCCTGAAGGACAAAGACCAGGTGCAACAGCTGCGCAAAGACATCAGTAGTAGCCTACAGTCCATCGACAACACCCAGCTACCTGGAAAGTTAAAGGCCTGGTGTCTGCAGTTTGGTCTCCTACCCCGGGTGTTGTGGCCCCTAGCAGTGTATGAGGTTCCAATCTCAACAGTGGAGAAGATGGAAAGAGGAGCCACGAGCTACTTAAAGAAGTGGCTCGGAGTTCCACGATGCCTTACCACCATAGGCCTCTATGGAGATGGTGTCCTCAAGCTGCCCCTCACCAGTCTAACCGAGGAATTCAAGTGTGCAAAAACCAGGCTCCAGATGACACTGAATGAATCTCGAGACCCAGTGGTGAGCAACAACGCGCCGACCTTGGCAATTGGACGCAAATGGAGGCCAGGAAAAGCAGTCCAGGAGGCAACAGCAGCCCTCAGACATGCTGACATTGTGGGTCATGTTCAGCAAGGGAGAGGAGGCCTTGGGCTAACTAGCCGTGCTGCTTGGAGTAAGGCCACTGCACCAGAGCGGCGGAAGATGGTAGTGCAGGAAGTACGCCATCAGGAGGAGGCTGCAAGGTGGGCCAAGGCAGTCTCTCTTGCCAAACAAGGACAGTGGACTCGATGGGACAGTGTGGAGAAGAGGAAGATCAGTTGGAAGGATCTGTGGGCCACGGAAGCGAGGCGGTTGAGCTTCTCCATCAGAGCAACATATGACATCCTTCCAACACCAGTTAATCTTCACCAATGGTATGGTGAAGATCCGGACTGTGCCCTCTGTTCCATGCCAGCCAACCTCAGGCACATTCTCACAGGGTGTAAAACAAGCCTCACCCAAGGACGCTACACTTGGCGTCACAACCAAGTCCTTAAAAACCTTGCGTCCGCCCTGGAGGACAAGCAGGCTGCCACCAACTCCCTACCACCCCCAGCAGCATCACACCCCTTACGGACGACCTTTGTCCGCGAAGGGGCTAAACCACCGAAGAGCGGCTCTACACCAATAGAGCGAGACCAGCTGCGCTTGGCCCGCGACTGGAAAATGCTAGCTGACATTGGCCGGCAACTTGTGTTTCCTCCGGAGATCGCAACCACCACCCTAAGACCTGACGTGGTGCTCTGGTCCCGTTCGCTCAAGAAGGTCTTCATCATTGAGCTCACAGTACCCTGGGAGGACTCAGTAGATGAGGCTTATGAGCGAAAACATCTGCGCTATGCCGATCTAGCTGCCGAAGCACAGCATCATGGCTGGAACACAGAAGTCCGACCAGTGGAGGTGGGCTGCAGAGGTTTTATGGCAACATCTACAACCAGACTGCTTAGAGACCTGGGAATTAAGGGCCAGAGCCAGCGTTCGGCAATCAAAGCTGTATCGGAGGCGGCAGAAGGCAGCAGTCAGTGGCTCTGGATGAAGAGGAAAGACCCCAGCTGGGCCCCAAAGTGAGAGGGCCAGGAGGTATGCAGTCAACAATGCTTGACTCAGGGAGGAGGACGCCCCTGCCATGCATAGTCCCATGGGATGTTGGCTACCAACAACAAGGCAACTCCTATGACTAATTGGGAATGGGACGCAAGCGTAGGATTGATCACCCTGTCGCTGGCCGCCTTTGGGGAGGGTGTATAGTATGAAAGGCCGAAACACCCTAGGAACCAAAGGGTCACTACTGACGATGCGCTCCCCAAATTTCACCAGTCTCACTGTTTATGAACTCTTGGAAGTGCTTGCACAAAGGATAGTAACATCTCATCCTGTGTTCTTTGGAATCATTTAATGGGATATCAGGTTTGTGAATTTTTGGTAGCCCATAAAGTATTGGTGGTTTTGATGCCCTTGGTTTGATCAGGTATTGCTCTTCCTTGGGAATTGATGACTTAGCAATGATTGCCATTGTTTTACGTTCCAAGGTGCTGGTTGGGTCTCATTTCATTTTAAGGTAGGTACCTTCATCCAATAAATCTTTGTTTTATTAATTATCATAGTTCTCACGGGGCATCACAACAGTTGATCGACCCTTATCAGCAACAAGAATTTGCATATCTTTATTTGCTCTCAATTCTCGTAAGGCTTTTGCTTCACTGAAGTTATTTTTTTTTGCTGTTCTCAATAATTTTGGCAACCTCATGCCTAGTCATCTCAGCTTGATTATGGGGGAGATGTCTAACTGCTGATTCCACTTCAGCAATGATCTAATCGAGAGGGATTCTACGTGGGGAAACAGCAAAGTTAAGACCTTTAGACAGGACTGAAACCATATCGCTGGAAAATCCAACGTTAGTCATGTTGATAACCGTTTTGTTTTAAAAAAAATAATTTTTGTTTGTTCGTCAGTCTTGCAAATTTGTTAATTTGGGTAGTGTTAGTTTTGTTAAATACTCTATCAGCTGATTGCTGTGTCATTGTGTCGATTATATTCCAGTGATCTGTAGAGACGCTGTTACTAATTTCTACGCTTAAGGATATTACTTTGCTGTATGAGCAAAGTTATTGCTGGAGGATATTGATAGCTGTTGAGGTACAAAATAAATAAGCAGACAATATGCCTCCTCACATCTGTCCAAAAGCATTGTTAGTTGCTTATCATCCCCACAACGACGCTAACGATGATGTTGTTAAGGAGGGGGGGGATGCCTATTTAATTGTGAAACTTAGCAGACAATGGATGCCTCAAGTAAATGTAAACAACGTCTCACAGTCCATTTTTTATTCCCTCAGGCCCACAACGACCTCTTGCGCACCTACGAGTCCAAGCTGGAGGCCTTTGGCATCCCGCGGGAGGAGCTGGGCTTCAAGCCGCTGGAGACGTCGGTGGCCGGGCAGACTCTGGGGAGGGGCCCCGCTGGCCTGGTGTCTGCCCCGACCTGAGCACTCGAACCCTCGTGGGGGCTGATCACCCTCCACCCCACCCCCTTGAGACCCCAAACATTGAGATTTGAATATTATTGTTACGTTTGTTTCCCAGGAAAGGCTTACTGAGTTTCAACACCGTTTTGAGGAGAGTCTTGTCAAGATTCTACAGACGAAGGAGATGTTGCTGTGTTGTGTGTAAAACCCACTGAGTACTTTGCAGGTATGTTTTTTTTACCACTGGGATATTTGGGTCAGAGCCGAACATGGTGACGCCTTAATCATACTGATCTCTTCATGAGCAATAGAAGTGAATGCTGCTGTGATAACCTTTTCATATGACAAGCAAAAATAAACAAGAAGACAATACGCCTCCTTCCCAGATCTTTCCCTCGACATCCAAATTCAAGTACTTTTTAAATACTGTATTCCATCAGCCGCACAGCCTTCTGGGAAGTCATAATTTCACCAGCATTGGTTTAACACGAGCAAAAATCTGGACCGGTTTTGACATTCATTGTCTTATCAGCATCCAGGCAATGCTGGTGAACCAATGCTGGTGAAATGCCAGATGTTTATAGGCAAGGATACTCTCTCTTACATATGGGTCCTAGTTTGATGCAAAACTATAAATACCTTAGCATAATTGTGAAGAATTTAAGTAAGAAAATAATAAGCAGACACTATTGAGCTAATCTTGTTACTGATATTCTCCAGAACGACTATTGTGTTTACATATGAAAAGGTTATTTTTAGTATTATTCACATCTGTTTGTTTTGTATATATTTGATACAAGACAACTGAATGTGTTCACCTTAAGTGCTACTGTCCAGCGATATTTTGGTCTGCATCCATGGACGAGCGGAGGGCTTGCCTTGAAAGTGGCGCATGTGATTTTGAGCGGTTGACGCATGTGTACAATAAATGTCTTGACCGCTGCAGCCATCCAAGCGGGCTCCCTTCGTGTATGTGAGCCAGGGTTGTAAGAAGCCCCAAGTGGCTCTACAATGACAGTTTCACTTTTATCCCAATACCCCCGAGAGTGCAGTGCATCGCAGGTGGGCATTGCTTGAAGCGGCTGGGTGGCTCAGCGGTAGAGCGAGCGGCTCACAATCGCAAGGTTACGAGTTCATATCGTGGTTAGTAGGTTGACTCGGCCTATCATCCCTGCCTCCTGGTTCGATAAAATGAGTTCTACTCATGGTATTGTGGGAAAATTAATAGCAGTTTTTCCTATAGTCCCTGGCATAAGAACATGTAATTTCCACCACTTAAGGTTGTAAACATGAGATGAGGCCTGCTTCACTGTGCATGAGATCTTTTTGACACTTTCAAGTTCACGCTCATCAGCCACAATTGCAAATTATCACAGTCAGAAACAGCCGAGTATTTCCATCTTAATGGTATTCTCAGAACTTTAACTTGACATCTGAATGTCCCCCCTCCTTTTGCTAATTTCCCAAACGTGATCGCGATTGTCCTTTTGGCGTCGTATTCAAAAGACGAAGAATCCTATGAAACATCTCACAGAGGAGTGTAACGCTTTGTTTTGGATAATATAGCCCACGGAAGAGAATATCACAGAGCTACTTCTGAGAACCCTTGTTCAAGTGACACCTCTGGTCCCCACACAGAAGACGGTCGAGCTTTCTAACTCGCTCTGCACATAAAAGTGACGTTCGTTACATGACAGTCAAACCAATATTTCATTCTGAGAGCTGGAGTTATTGTCAAATTAATCACAGAACCAAAGTTAGTGTGATAGATTTTTTTTTAGCATTCATTGGTGAACGGCGCTGAGACCATCAACTCCGGATTGGAACCCAGGCTCGGCGCTCTAATAATGCAAAGTGTGGTGCACTAACATGTTGTGATATCCACAGCACAGTATGCGGACATCTCGTGACATTGAAATGACAAGCAGCGCTCACATGCACAGTAGTTTAATGAATCGACAGTAACTGCGGTTATTCTAGCTGCAAATCATTCCCTTGCACACTGAAGCATACTCCGCCTGAGCCCGAAATATGTTGGGTGTGCGACAAGAAAGATGATGGCCGATGGACGGTGACAGAATGTCAGCCAAAGAAGAAACGCAGCCTTGAGTCCGACCATCACAGAAATGGAGTGAAGAGATTAGTTAATGTTCAGGAACGACATGGATCGTGGCATTGCAAGACCGTAAGGAAGAGTGACAGTGACGGCAGTCCTTCATCCAGCAGTGGATAGATCATGGCTGATGATGGCGAGGAGGATGGGCCAAGTAAGGGCTTTGTGGGACTTTTTCTTATTAGCAGTTTGCTGAGCAATGACCCAAACGTAAAGCGGCCAGCTATAAACAGCACGATCAAAGTTGTACTCAACATTGTGTTCAACACGTGTCTCGAATAGAGAAAGTTCATGCTCTATTGTGCTGGCGAAAATGCCTCGATGAGAGGGAGTTTTGGCCCAGACTTCCATGCAAGTCTTTAAAAGAGGTGGGAGTGCCCACACTTGACCCAACCGCACGCGACCTGCCGATCGACTGATCGGCAGGTCGCGTGGTGTAAACGTGTGTACTGCTTGGTGGGGTGGGCCGAATAATTTTGACCATTGTCCAATTTAACACGAAGGCTTTCGCGACCAGTATTATTCATAATAAAGGCTTTTGGGTTAGATCGCATAAGTATAAATGTGTCGCAACCCTCTACCACCCGACACGGACAAACAGTAAAAAATGTCACGTTAACAAGATGCCAATTAGTTACTTATTCAACCCACCGGTGTGTTTGAAGAGTGAATCCACAACATTTAGCATTTGAGTAATACGACGTTCCGCTGGAACTTACATCCAGCATCTTCCGGCGATTTGCCAGAATAGTGAAGCCACCCACCTGCTTCCGGTGTTAAACAGTGCAGGACGACGTCATCATTGAAGCCCATCAGGTTTCAAGATCAGAGGCGGAGGTGGGAGGGAGGGGGGCATTGTAATTATACAATGTTTTGCAAAACATGAAAGTTAAATTTGGTACGGTACACAAAATTCAAAAACTAGTGTCTTGTACTAAAGATGAATTACCTCAGTTATCAACAGAAGGTGTATATCGTATCAATTGCTTATGCGGTAATGCTATATTGGACAGACTGGATGTAACATTAGCATAAGACTAAAAGAACACCAATGGAACATTAAATTCTCTCAAACACAACTGCCGGCAGTGGCAGAACATGCTTGCCAAGAAGGACACTCAATTGATTTTGATAACATTGAAGTGTTATTTAAAACTAATTATTACTGGCCAAGACTAATTCGAGAATCCATCGAAATTGAGCGAAATACCAATAATTTTAACTGCTCTGATAGCTACAGACTTAGCGCCGCCTGGAAGCGTATTAAGTCATCTTTATATATATAAAAGGGAAATTTGTGAATGTGTGTCTGCTCGAAATGTTTAGCGTACTTCCCGACATGCAACAAACTTTAAATTTGGCATGTGGGTAACTTCCAGACTGTACAGAATGCAACAAGTAGAAAAACCCGCATCCAGGACTGGTGAGAATCGATATCTGGTGAGCGTTTTTGGTATCGATTAAACGAGAATAGTTCGATTCTAAAGAAATCTACAACCTTCGATTCCTTTTGCGCGATTTAAAGAATCGAATCTTGGCGCGCGAGCCTAAGTTTTTTTTTCCACCGCGCGTTGGGTTTATTTTAATGGATAAGGCAATGATCAAAGTTTTTTTTAATTTGTATATGTTATGTTCTTAAGTTGAGACGTTTTTAAATATATATTTCCCCCCGGGCAACGCCGGGTACTTCCCGCTAGTACACAATACATATTACAATTCATTATAGAGGAATCACATACTAATTAACTGATTACTAATCTTTCGATTTAAAGCTTTCGTGACTGCAGGGATTCATCTTCTTGGTTCTTTCGGCAAAGTCACGTAGAATGGAAATAATAAAATAATACATAATAAAATAATTCTCACGACGTTTCGGCCACAACGCAAGCAGTCTTCACCTGAGGACGGCTGCTTGCGTTGTAGCCGAAACGTCGTGATAATTATTTTATGTTTTATTTTAATATTGTATTATTTCCATTCTACGTGACTTTACCGAAAGAACCATGAAGATGATTACTAATCTATATATATAAAATCGTTCATGTCTGTGTGTCTGTGTGTGTGTGTGTGGACTGCACTTTCATTGGACGGCGGTTGCCCCTGGCAACGGCTAGCCACGCCTTCGCCGCTTTCATTGGACGGCGGTTGCCCCTGGCAACGAGTAGCAACTTTTCTCCGCGGGGTGGACGCCATTTTTAATAGCGCGGGGGGGGGGGGGGGACCGGCACCCGTACCCAGCGTTCGCCGGGTGGGAAAATCAGGCAAGGCGGGAGGCTCTGCACGGTGCTAGGCCTCGACACCCAACACGCCACTCTGAGGTAAATTCATACAAATTTCACGTCCTCTACAGAGTGGCGAGGGAGGCAGAGTGGCGAGGGAGGCAGAGTGGCGAGGGAGGGACTCAGCCTCAAAACGAGTAACTGGTGTGGCGTATTAACATCGCCACTGGGGAGACAAAGGCGGCCGGGCGTGGTGGATACAAGTCCCGGGCAAAGCCGGGTCATGACTATGTGTGTATGTGTTTATGTGTATGTCTCTGTGTCTGTATGTATGTGTGTATGTATGTGTCTGTATGTGTTTGTGTGTATGTATGTGTGTGTCTGTATGTATGTGTGTGTGTATTGTGTATGTGTTTGTGTGTATGTATGTGTGTGTTTGTATGTATGTGTATGTTTGTGTGTATGCATGTGTGTGTATGTGTTTGTGTGTATGTGCGGTTATGTATGTGTGTGTATGTGTGTGTCTGCAGCAAGCGCGTGTATGTGTACCTATGGACGCGCGCGCGTGTGTTGTGTAGGGGGAACGGTAGTGTAGTGCTTAGCGTACTGCCTGTGTCTATGTGTCTGTGTGTGTGTCTGTGTGTGTGTGTCTGTGTGTGTGTGTCTGTGTGTGTGTGTCTGTGTGTGTGTGTCTGTGTGTGTGTGTCTGTGTGTGTGTGTCTGTGTGTGTGCGTGTGTGGTGTGTAGGAGGAACGGTAGTGTAGTGCTTAGCGTGCTGCCTGTGTGTGTCTGTGTGTGTGTGTGTCTGTGTGTGTGTGTCTGTGTGTGTGTGTCTGTGTGTGTGTCTGTGTGTGTGTCTGTGTGTGCGTGTGTGGTGTGTGGGGAGCGGTAGTGTAGTGGTTAGCGTGCTGTCTGTGTGTCTGTGTGTGTGTGTCTGTCTGTGTGTGTGTTCTGTGTGTGTGTCTGCGTGTGTGGTGTGTGGGGAGCGGTAGTGTAGTGGTTAGCGTGCTGTCTTTGTGTCTGTCTGTGTCTGTCTGTGTGTTTCTGCGTGTGTCTGTGTGTGTGTGCGTCTGTGTGTGTGAGGAGCGGTGGGTGTAGTGGTTAACGCTACGCTGCGCTACCAACCCGGCGAACCGAGTTAGATTCCCGCTCATGGCCACCACCGATCAAGATTATTTGAACCTCACATAGGTCGACTCAGCCTCAAACGAGTAACTGGTGTGGCGTATTAACATCGCCACTGGGGAGACAAAGGCGGCCGGCCGTGGTGGATACAAGTCCCGGGCGAAGCCGGGTAGTACAGCTAGTCTATTATATAATTACCTCCGCCTCTGATCTCGAAATCTGATGGGGTTGAAATGTTGCGGCTTTGCTCTGCAACACACCGGGGGGGCTGTACTAGTGACGAATTGGCATGTTCTGTTAACGTGATAAACCTCATTGGCTGTGTCGGGTGGTGGCGGGTTTAACGACACATTGATCAATTTACGTGATCTAACCCAAAGACCTCTATTATATGGGTATTATTACGTGCTAAACCAAAAAGGAAAGAAGTCCGGTGTCCATCGATTCCGTTCAGGCGGCAGCATTGAACCGACGCCATCGCCTTCTCGAGTTCTCTACAACCCCTCTCCCGATTCACTCCCATTGTGTGTAGACGTCAGTTTCACGCCGGCATCTCGCGTTGCTTTCTAAGCCTCCTCTGCCTCGGGAATGTCGTCGGGCCGCCGCAAGGGCTGTTGGACCCCCGGGGCTGCTGCTCTTGAGATGGTGGCGGGGCACGGGGAATGCGCTGCCAGGGGGGTGCCTGCTCACAACAACAACAACAACAATGCCTGCTCACAACAATGCATTGCTTCAGCAGCATTGCCATTTTACTTTATGTACAGTATATATGCGCTTATTTAGTAGTGACGATGTGATTGTCGAAGGGGTTTATCTGTTACTCAATATCTACGAATAATGTAACTTTTCGTATACTTTTAAAAAAAAGACATTTAACACGTACAGTAATTGTGATCAGGCCGCACGGTTGTAAGTGCAATATCCAGCGCTGACTGGCCACCCTGCCTCTCTTCTTTCACTGCACTATGAAGAAGGGCCGTTGTCTGAAACGTTGCCGAGGTATATTGTTTTACTCTTAAGGCCACAATGTTGTTGTTGGATTTAGTTGTGTTATTTGTTCTCGTGCACTCCGTGCCAACTCTGCAGCGCCACCAAATAGTTCAACACAACCCCACACCGCCTGAGTCGGTCGCCTGCGGGGCCGGACGCTGCTGTGCCCGCAACGACAACAACGACGACGAGGAGGAGGAGGCGCAGTGGAGCCGCGCGACATTTCGAGGGGTGGAGGAGGTGGAGGAGGAGGACTTTACCTCGAGCTCAATACCAGAGGGGTGACTGCAGTTCAAAGCAAGACCACGTTGGTTGTGAAGTCTGGAGGCTAATGCTGTTTACGAGGGTCCTGCTACAGTGGGGATCCTTGGACGACACAACTAAGCAGTCTATAATAATAACAGCACGTAGGCTTAAGCAGACAATTGCAGACAAAAACAATACTTTCATTTTATAGAGCGTAATTCCTGCCAATAGCGTCCCACAACCTCCTCTTCCCAAATCTGCCCCCGACATTACAAAATAAAGTATTTTCTTAACACTCAGACAGACGGCCTTCCTGTTGGGAGTGCATACTCGTAGTGACAACATTGGTTCAACACAAGGAACACTGGACCGGTTTTGACTTTTAGTGTCTCATCAGGAGACCCAGTGAGGCTTAAATTTCGATTTAAAGCTTTCGTGACTGCAGGGATTCATCTTCTTGGTTATTTCGGTAAAGTCACGTAGAAGGGAAGTAATAAAATAATAAAAAGAAAACATAATAAAATAATTCTCACGAAGTTTCGGCCACAACGCAAGCAGCCGTCCTCAGGTGTAGACCAGGTCTGTCGGGGAGACAGCGTCTGAATGAAACACCACCACGCTTGGAGCGTATATTTAAGCTGGGTTGGAAGGGGGGAAGGGCGCCTTGACAAAATAATTTGCATATAAAGAGGAATTTAGCATATTTATGGCAAATGCAGGTATGTGATTAGTACTACTTGTGAAATGCGTAGGAGGTGGGCGGGGGGTTTCAAAGTCATATTATGCCCGTTGATTATGCAGGATTAGCAGCATCAAAGGGAGGGGATAGGGGTAGCATTAATAAAGGGAAGGAATGTTAATAGTATGTAGCTGCAGTAACTAAACAACCACGTAAAAAACTAAAGTATTACTTACTGTTAGTAGCTCAGCTTATTGGAGAGTATATTTAGTATACTGATGATACTATGTAGTTTATACTTTAGTTTTTTACGTGGTTGTTTAGTTACTGCAGCTACATACTATTAACATTCCTTCCCTTTATTAATGCTACCCCTATCCCCTCCCTTTGATGCTGCTAATCCTGCATAATGCACGGGCATAATATGACTTTGAAACCCCCCGCCCACCTCCTACGCATTTCACAAGTAGTACTAATCACATACCTGCATTTGCCATAAATATGCTAAATTCCTCTTTATATGCAAATTATTTTGTCAAGGCGCCCTTCCCCCCTTCCAACCCAGCTTAAATATACGCTCCAAGCGTGGTGGTGTTTCATTCAGACGCTGTCTCCCCGACAGACCTGGTCTACACCTGAGGACGGCTACTTGCGTTGTGGCCGAAACGTCGTGAGAATTATTTTATTATTTCTAGATTTGAAGCTTTCGTGACTGCAAGGATTCATATTCTTAGGTTTTTTTCGGTAAAGTCACGTAGGTAAAACATTAAAATTAATAAAAATAAAATTAAAATAAAAATCACGACGTTTCGGAGGCAACACAAGCTTCCGTCTTCAGGTGGAACCGTCACAGCCACGACAGCTGTATCAAGTAAATGAGAGATTACAAGAGCTACCACTCCGTATATATAATGGTTGGAGAGGGGAAGGGCCAAGTAAAGCACATATTAATAAAAAGTGATTTTTATTTTATTTTACTTTTATTAATTTTAATGTTTTACCTACGTGACTTTATTTTATTATGTTTTATTATTTTATTACTTCCCTTCTACGTGACTTTACCGAAAGAACCAAGAAGACCAGTGAAGCTTGTTTGAACCAATGTGGCTGGCGTTGTGCACTCTCAGAGGGCCGCGTGGATGATGGAATGTGTAAAAAAATGCGGAAGGACGGATTTGGGAAGGAGGCAAATGTCTGCCTATTTCTTCTGCCAAAGCACGTTTATCGAGTTGTTGTTGGCGGCGCGTGCAGATACGGGAACGCGTTTAAGGTAAATATCAGCACGTGTGTGTATGAGTGCGCGCGTGTGTGTGTGTGTGTCTGTGCTCATGACCGGCTCCTGTTTAACAGCAGAGGTGTCACTCCGAATCAGTCGAGCGGCAATATATTTTAGTCGGTTGCGTAACGCTGTGTGGAAGCTTCGGGTCTTCTCGGCCACGGTCATCCCCTCCCTTCTCTACGCTTGCGAAACGTGGACCCAGGATAGAAACATTTAGGCTGGCCTGTCTACGATCCATCCTGGGTTTAACTAGGCTGGATTGTGTGAGGAGCTCACAAATTCTTGAAAGATCTGGGCAAAGTTCCATCGGTGAGCTCCTGCGGCGGGCAAGGCTGCGTTGGCTGGGTCATGTAGCTACACGGGGGATCTTTGTATTTGGATCTATGCTCTGTCAGATTTTACTTTATTACACTGCTGACCAACCAGCAAAGTAATCGGCGTCACCGCTACAGTTAGTACATGTGGCAAGGCCGCGTGTGGTGGGGTAAAGTGTGAGTACTCTCCTACCAACTTTTCCAAGCTGTTTGAAAATCGTGGAAGAGTTGGCCCAAAAAATACCCTCTAGAGAGCGGCCTTCAGTGGGAGGGCCCCTTCCGTGAGCAGTGTCGTGAGCGAGCATTTGCAGGACTGCGCCTTTACATTTTGTTTTGTCTGCATAGACCGTACAGTGCAACATAACAACGACGCAATGCCCATATCCACAAACATTCTAAGGAAACAGCGATACGCTACTGCTGCTGCTGTTGACGCGGTTGTCTGGGCTTGACCACGGGAGTGTGACATCGTAGTTTGTTGCTCTGCATCGACATCAGCAGCCATACGACGACTACGACAAGAAGAAGAAGAAGCCGTGGACTGGACGAGCAGGGACCCGGGGAACTTCCGAAATGATTTGGGCAGTCCCCGATTTACGGAGGTTTATTCCGAAGACAAAGATCCCCCGTATAGCCTGAACAGACTGTTGGGGTAAGTGCTGTTTGCGAGCACCTATGAAGGCCGGCACGGCACACGAGGGGGTGGGTGGCCAACACCACGCCCGACCGTCTTTGTCTCCCCCAGTGGCGATGTTTACGAACCCGATCACCACCTGGAGCTCATGTGGCGCAAGAGCTGCGCCTCCCCGCCCACCTGCCTTGAGTCTAGCCCCTCCCCCCTCGTGACGCGCGATTGGTTGAGAGCGGCTGAGGGGGCGTGACTTGCGCCCGCTATATAAATGGGGCCCCTCGCGGGCGGGGCCGCATTTCGTTGGGCGAGAGACTTTGTCGTCGCTCTGGTGATTGCGCAACGTCCTCGGCGCTTCAAGGCGGCGGACGATTCATTAGCGGCAATTAGCCCGCGGAGAGAGACGGCTTCCTGTCGAAGTGAAGGCCGGGGCCTCTTCAGCCATGGCCATCCTGTGTCTCGTCAGCCGGCCCGACTCGGTGGTGATGGAGGTGGAGCTGGACGCGAAGGCGAAGGGGGAAGATTGCGTGAATGAGGTAAACATCATCAGCAGCAGCAGCAGGGCCAACAACAGCGGCGTCGCCATGTAGCGGAGTACAAGCGAGTCTCAACATCTCATCTTGTCGCGCCATCTCCACGCCTGTAGCACACTTGGGTACGGACGCAGAGGTAAAGGCGCATCCCTGCAATGTCTTTCTCGCGCCACTGCTGACGAAAGGGTCTCTGCTCGAGGGGGTGGGGCGGCGAGTGTATTTGGTCTACTCTTCCACGCTGACCAGACGTCTCGGAAGATGCGCTCCCTGTACGAGTACAGTACATAAGTACAGCACAGATAAAAACAAAGTACTGTATATAACTCGAGTGGCAATGGGTGTCCGATTGATGGAGATGGTGGCGTCTAATGGGCGACCCGCTTGGTTATCTCTGCAGCGACGACGACTCGTGCTCCGTTCCAGACCACGGCCACCGTCAGTGGCGACTGATAACTGAGCAGAGAACTAAACCGGACCACTCGCGCACACTACCGGCGCGATGTATGTACAGTACGTACGTTGAACTTCTTTCACACCGTACGTAGACAACCGTGCTAATCGGAGGTGCGGGTAAAGGTTTGGTCGCATAGCCATCCCGAAGACTGACGCGGCGTGCGGAGGCCTCCATCCAGCAGTAGAACGGCAGCGTGCATTGAAATGCGGCGCTTGTCCGCGCTGCGCAGATTTCTCAGTGCGAGGTGGCCGATAAACCCGGCGGCGTTGACTGACGAGCGAGGCACCTCCAGGTACCAGGTACTGGTGCAGTCGCGCTCAGCCTGCTCATCGACAATGCACAAGAGACACGGGAGGCTGCTCATGCGTCTTGACGATGGTACGACTTGTCCCCAGAATGGGAATGTTGAATTTCGAACGTTACCATGGCACAGGTATAACGTTGAAGGCTTAATACAGTAGTTTAAATCTAAAGGGTCGACCACGTCATGTATGCATGTTTAACTATTTTCACACCTTACGAAGCCAACCGTGATATTCTCCGAGATTAATGTAAATGCATACCACCTTGTGGCAGTCCAGCAGTGGTAGTCCTATGGAACACCTCGCCCCGTCCATAGGAATGTGGAATTCCCACGTTCCTATGAACCACCACTGTCGCCCATTAACTCCAGCCGTTAATTTACTGGTGGTCCGTCGCCCCCCTATCACTCCTCTATGGCGACTATCATGGTTACTATTCACGCGAACTTCACTCGTTGATTCCTCCCCCCGTGTTGAGACACTGTCGTCTCATCCACCGCAGGTCACAACAACTCACTCATCCACCCAACAACAACAACCGCTGTTCGCCACTAAGCGGTGGTGACGTCACCAAGGCACCTGTGCCATGCTAGGTGCACTTTGAGGCTACGTGAAGTGTCGAAGGGCCGCTGGCAGGCCGTCACGGAGCAGACCCAGGCACCAGCAACTCATTCTCCCACTCGCCCCACTGCGGGGGCGCAACGCTTCTCTCACCTGGTTACACAAAATAAACTCTTACGCGGGTGTCCCGATCACCCCCCCCCCACCGTCGCCAGGTGTGTAGGCACCTGCGCATCATCGAGCGCGACTACTTCGGCCTCCAGTACGAGGGCACCAAGGGCGAGACGCTGTGGATCAACCTGCGAAACCGCCTCGGCCCGCAGTTGAGCGGCGCCGCTCCGCACCGCCTGCGCCTCCGAGTCAAGTTCCTCGTGGAGCCTCACCTGCTGCTCCAGGATGAGACCAGGTGAGGCCCCCACGTGCCGTGACGCACGCCGGCCCGGCGTTCGCACGCGAGTGGCGCCAGTGTGGTTTTCACGAACCGAAATGGCGCTTAATCCAGAAAAATTGGAGGTTCTGGTGGTTGGCAACTCGGGTTCAGGCAAAAAGATTTGTGGGAGGATTAGGTGTGGCGATCGCAGACTCCAGGGCTCGGTTTTCAACTTGCATCTAAAGAGCCTCGGGTCCATACTCTACCAGAATGTTTAATTACCGCATGCAAAATATAGTTGGATTCTGAAATTTTAATATCAGGGCTCTACGATACATTGGGCCACTATTGAGTCGTGCCGTAGCCAACACGGTGGCATGTAGCATTATATGGCTTGATTATTGCAACTCACTACTCTACGGGACGTCAGGCAAAAAAATTACGAAGCTGTAGCATGTACACAACTATTTGTTACGTGTCCTGACGGGTACTGCAAGATCTGACCAAGTCTGTTCGGTGCTCACCGAGCTGCATTGGCTTCTGGTTGCCGAACGAATACATTATCAGGTCGCACTCGTTACACACAAAGTACTTGCCACAAATGAACCACAATACCTTGCTGATCTCGTTCAGGAGCATAAACCATCACGCGAACTTCGGTCTCCTCGCAGCAGCGGCTTTCAAATGATCTTTTTAGGCTGTCTGGAACACTCTTCCTTCCCATATTAGGAAGCCACTGAAGCTATCCACTTTTTAAATCGAAAGTGAAAACTTTTCTTGAACTGCTTTTTGTATTTAGTTTGTTGTCCTTCCCCCGCACCTCCGATTAGCACGTACATACATACTGCCGGCGACAGAGATTCCAGGGTGCAAGTCTCTCCATAGTACAACTACTGTTGACTTCCCCGCACACACAGTTGTACTTGTTGTATCTACCCCAGAGGAATGATAGGCTGAGCCATTCCACAACCAGGATTTGAACTCACAATTTCCGATTGCGAGCCGCTCGCTCTACCACCGAGCGGTTTAATACAGTCGAACTCTCGACCGGTTTTGACATTCGGTGACTCATCTGCCAAACTTGCTTCAACCAACCAATGCTAACTGCTGACAAAATACCAAATATCAAAACCGGTGCAGAGTTTTGCTTCTGTTGAACAAACACTGCTGAAATTATGATCCCAGAAGGCCGTGTGTGTGGCTGATGGGATATGTAAAAATACTTAAATTTTGTACGTGTGGGGTGGGTGGTGAGGGATGTCGAGATAGCGGAGAGTGAAGGAGGTGGATTGTGGTGATTATTGATTTTGTTGTATTTTGCACAGCGACGCCAGTGATTATTTGAAGTTGGTGTGGTTCTTGGGAAACCCCCCTCCCTCCCCCCCCTGCTGGCGCCTTTCGTGCGGGTGTCAAGGCGTGTCCGAGCGAGTGTAGCGAGGCTCGATGATGTCATGAGCTGCGGGTTTTAATAAGTGAAACGAAACCAGAGAGACACAAACAACCTCTTAACCTGTGGGTCTCCTGGGCAGTCCGCTTTGTTTACGGGAAAGACGTTTAAACAATGTATGAGAGTGCGTGAATGTCTACACTCGGCAGAATTCAACATACAGTGGTGATTGGTGATCCAGTACTCGCTGAGTCACTCCAGCCACTCGCTCGCTTACTCACTCATCAGCAGTCAGTCGCCTCCCTATCACTCTTCTGTCGCTACTACGACTGTGGTTACTGTCCCCGTGAACTTCACTCGTTGATTCCTCCTCCACCTGTGTTGAGGCCTTGGTCTTGACCAGACACTGTTATCTCATCCACCACACTGTGTTCAACCACCACCACCAGACTGTGTTCAACCACCACCACACTGTGTTTAACTACCACCACACTGTTGGTCACTTCTCTCTGCGTCTCCCCTCACGTTACTCTACTTCGTTAGTCCTCCCACCGTATTTTTCCTAGGCTCTCATAACCTTTCTCAATTCAAGAGTCGTGTTAAGTCTTATCTGTTGCAACTTTGATGGTGATATTTGTTGCTGGCCGCTTGATGTTGTGGGTCTTTATGCCTGAGCTCAGCAATTGTGTAAAACAAGACTAAATGCCGGCTTGCAAACGGTGCGGAGTCACCTTGTGCCACACAGGGACAGCTGCCACTGAGGGTGCCCTTTGAATATTTGAGATGAGGTGCAAGGCGCTTGGAGTGGCTGAGGCATTTAACCACCGCAAGATTACAGTTAAGATTATTTTATTATTTACAGGAACTATTTCATTGAGTTTAAACCCAACCTGTGAATTATTATCTAAGAGTGAAGAGCAGTAATGAGCAGTAATTGGCCACAGGTTTGGCCAAATCACCCTGTACTGTATAGTGGATATCGGATGGATTGATGCATTGCAGGATTGTGAGGCTTGGGGGGGACCTTGATTCAGCAGTGGATTGACCATGGATGAAAGTAATGCATTCAGGGTGGCCTTGCGGTCGAGCGTGCTACTCGCGAGCGGAAGGTTGCGAGTTCAACTACTGCTTGGCTCGGTTGACTCGTTTGCGCTGGGAGTCGCGCTGTAAAGTCCACCTCTCCCATGGACTGCAATGCACTGCAATATTTCCACGAATTTTTATTGAAAAAAAACCTAGAGACCTCGGCCACGTTTCCTTGAACTTTTGTGGATCTACCCAGAGTTGGCGATAGCAGCCCGGCTGCTATCGCCAACTCTGCGAGTGGCTGCACCCACAAAGACAAAGATCCCCTGTATAGCCTTGACGTACTGTTGGGGCAAGTGCTATTAGTGAGTAGCACCTATAAAGGCTGGCACGGTACACAAGGGGGTGGTCAGCACCACATCCGACCACCTTTGTCTCCCCAGTAGCGATGTTTACACACCATACCCAGGTACTCATTTGTGGCTGAGTCGACCTAGTGGAGGCCCTGGACCGGTTCAGATAATCGTCACTGATAGTGTTGGTGTCCGAGAGCGAGAATCGAACTCGGGTTGCCGGGTTTGTAGTGCAGCGTGCTGACCACTACACTTCAGCATGCACCCACACACAGCCGCTCACCATCCCCCACAATCTGCCCAGCTACAGCCACACACAGACAACCGCTGTCTTGCCCAATCGGCTTCCACCTCTCTCTCCCGCCCCACCACCAACGCCGCTCCACCACCGACCCCTGACTAGCCAACAATGAAAACACTTATTAAAAAAAGAGTAGCTTTAAGCCTGCCTTGTCTGCCTATGCGACTTGTGTTAATAAAATCCGCAGGAGGAAGATGTGTGGCTGGGGTTTGTGGACGTTGTTGGGTTCACAGAACCTGGCTACTTGAGCAAGGAGGCTTGCACTGGGAAGTTTGCGAGTTCAAATCCCGGTTGGAGTGGGTTGGCTTTGCCCATCATCCCTCTGCGGTCGATAAATGAGTACAACTTTTATGTTGGGAAGTCAATAGTGGTAGTTTTATGGGATGCTCACTCCCACCGAATCATCACTGCTGAGTCTCAAAATACTTTCTCAGGAGGGTCTTGCCAAGTGTTTTATAGTCGGGGGGGCGGGTGATGTTGCTGCTACTGCTGATGTGATCCCAATTGAAAATCTGCAGGTAATTTTTCAGCTTTGGGATGTTTGGCCAATGACATATATAGATATTTGTTATGGGAGGAAACTGGAAGACCCCGAGGCAACCCACTTAGAACGGGGGAGAACATAGAAACTGAACACAGAAAGGCACGGAGTCGGGAATCAAACCCAGGCACTACTCGCTGACGAGTTGCGAGCGTCACCACTGCACCACCATTTTGAGTGCCGCTGCCCCACGCGGCCACTTCCATCCACAGCCGACGGTGGTGCCCGCTCCCTACACTCGCACAACGGGAAATACATGGCGGCGGTGGGGAGACAAGCAGAAGAGTCTCACTGCGCGCTTCCTGTTTCCACCACGAGCCCAACCACTCACTAGCACAGTCCCCGATCTTCGCGCAGCCACACAAAGCGGGTAAACCCCCGCGCGCGCTGCGTAGTCGCGTTGCACCGGAGTGGTGTGGCCAGGGGACAGAGCTCACGTCGCGGAGCCCCTCCACCAGCGGTGGCAGGAGAACCAGGAGAACACCCATCAACATGTGAATGAGTGACACGGCTCCGCACATATAGTATCAACAATCCATGGCTGTGCTGCCCTCTTCTGGCTACCTCGTAGCCTAAGCCTACGATCACGTGATGGTCCCAGTCTCCTGTCTACGGGCTCACCAGGTGCAACATCTGCTGAGCTTCCCAGATCTCAGGGGGTTGGGCATGTTGGGCATGTTCACGACGACGCGGTTTAACGCCTGTTCAGAATGAACAAAGGGCTGCACATGTTACTAAGCGCCAACGTGAGACACTTTGGGGCCATCCATTTAGTACGTACGCAAAAATCTGTCAACTTAACCAATGCCCCCCTCCCTGTACGCATGCGTACTTTTTACCCCCCCCCCCCCCACCTGCGTACGCTTGACCCCCCCCGCCCCCCGAATCCTATAGAACGGCCGATATTTAATCCACGCAGAAGCAATCAAGGATTAATATTATTAACGTGTTTAAGCAATCAGATAGGCCACCGCCGGACTATCTAACTCATTTGAAGGCCAATGTAGACAAATTATTATCGAGGCTTCACCCCCCCCCCCGTTTCCTATTCCCTATGCGTACATTGTCAGTAGACCCCCCCCCCCCCCCCCATACGCAAGCGGTACGCATTTTGGTTAACCTCCCCCTCCATGCGTACGTACTAAATGGATAACACCTGATTACACAGTTGGTGGGTGTTGTGTATAGCCACCACCCTTTGCTGAGGACGTGGGGCACCAGACTCCTCATTCACACTGCAGGTCACAACAACACACTCACCCGCTCACCCACTCACCTACCCACCAGCTCACCCTCCACACTGCAGGTCACAACAACACACTCACCCACCCACTCACCTACCCACCGACTCACCCTCCACACTGCAGGTCACAACAACACACTCACCCACCCACTCACCTACCCACTGACTCATCCTCCACACTGCAG